TTTTTTTTGTCTGAGCAATTGTAAGGACAAGCCGCGTGGATGCAGATCAAAAGCAGCCATCTCCTAGCTTATACTAAGCCGTTAACCGCTTAATAAAAAAAGAAGGAATAAAGTTGTAGAGACTGTCGGCTTAAATGATCAAAAGCGTATACATAATTGGATTAAAAAGACGGAGATTGCGACTGCTCACAAGAGCTAAAAGTTGAAACAGGGCAGGAGTCACACCATAATTATTGAAAAAGAGATATAGTACTCTACGCTGTCCTTATCTTTTTTGCTATGAGGATGCTTTAGTAGTCCAGAAGTTTGAAATGACTTCGGCTACAATGGTAGAAATACATTATGGGCGCTGGACACCAGCGCATCTATTTTTCTGCGGTTGATCCTCATATCAAGCTTGGAGGCTGTACACTTGGCGAAGCTTCTTCTGTTGAGTCTGCTCCTTTTAGTCGTAGTCGAGTGAAATCCTCGAAAATCAGATCGTCATCGTCCACTCGCAAGTCATTTCTGAAAAAGCTTCGGTAAAAGTGAACAGGATTCAAAACAATCAAGAAAAACTTGTTCAAAAAAAGGCTGCTCACATTTCCTCATTCAGTTGTATCAAGTCGACTTCTAATGGATCCGGTCCTGCACTGCCCTCTGAGGAGCGGCTGACTATTGGTCGATCCTACAAAATTACGCTTGAAACTGTTAGAACACAACATAACAAGAATACAAAAACAAATATGTATATTACCCTTCTTTCTGGAGTTTCAGCTGGTTTTGCGTGTGTAAGTGTGAATGGCAGTTCAGCTACCAGCTCCCCTCCAAGCGGTCCAGCAATGGCAGCACGAATTTTCACTCTGTATGCCACGACAATACCAAGACTTTCTTTAGTCGTTGATGGCTCCATTCTAAAAAGATAATTACATTTCCAATGCCAATCAGCATTTTCGACTGCTTACATGGTGCTCGAAGCCAAATTCGTATCTTCATGTTTCAGTTGTCCATCAAGCGCTAAACCTCTCTTGTCCTTGTTGTTTCGCAACAGTGGGCATACAGAATATACTTTAGATAGCGTTGCTCCCGGTCCAACAGGGAATCCTTCTCTAAAAGTAGACAAAATACACATATGTCGACCACAAACAGTGGTAACATCTGCTCCAGGACGAAGGCGGTCGTCCAAATAGGTTGAAGGCATGCCAGCCTGACGCGCACGCGGCGCGCAGGCAATTA